GGGGCTCAGCGGAAACCATCATGCATACCAAATTTACATTATGAATATTCAGCTTGCTTCTATCAGACTATTAACATATTTTATCATATTGATATCCAGCACTACAAAGGTAGAATACATAAAATGACAGAAATTTTCTAGTAAATAATTAATCTAGTCAAGGGGAAAAACAAGCAGCAGTAAAACATAAGTAAGATCACAAGGAAGACATATTTACAGCACACTTGGAAGAGTGTTCAGGTGAGACTGAAAATGACAGCAGTCTGCCCTGTACACCAATCTCCTACATCCGATACTGGGATCCTGAGTAGGAATCACCGAACACAGCATAAGGTAATGTAAAAGGCACGCCTTATTAACTCCTGGACATCTCATTTCTTGGTCATAAATCCTATTAACTTGTATTACAAACTGCCATAAAACCTAGAGATAAAAGATAATTTATGCTCAGTGTACAGAAGCTAATGTTTCCGTACTCCTAAGAGGCACGGGACCAGAAAATGAGAAAATGTGTATGTGAAACCTGGAGCTATTCACAGTCTGCACAGGCAGCACGCGAAACACAGCCCTGAGCGCCAACGTCCCCAGCAGGAACACAGCTCAGCCAGCTGGGACACATCGGTGACACCCCGTGTCCACAAGGTCTCTCCTCTGCTCCATAAAGGCCCCTGCTCATGAAAAGTAACCATATCTTATGAGGAACACATTTGTGGAAGTAAAAGAAAAGTGTTTACTCTGGAGGGGGCAGTCAGCATGCATCCTATGTTTAATTTTCCATTTTCAAATGAACGATGGACCACTTCCTTCCAAAGTAAGTGCTACCTACTGAGGTTTTAATTCACAATGCTATTCTGACCTAAAGCAATTGAAATACGCTGAGATACAATGCAAAACACTTATAGGCTAAAGGCTCAGTCTTATTCATATAGCTTATATGGAACTACACTATTGTATCTTTGTTTTACAAAGCAAATTATAATTTATGAAAATAAATCACAGAAAGGGGACTGAAATGAGAACGTAAATATTAGACTAGAACATGCCAAGTGGTTTTAAGTGAATTGCACAGCTAATATAATACTAATCAACGAAAGATGATTATTTATTTATCAGCCTAGTCACATAAGAGTGGCACATGTAGAATCTCCAAGAGAAACACAAAATAGTATAGAAACACTGAGACCATTTGAAGGTAGGAAGTTTTTGTTTCATTTTGTGATGAAAAGATCTAGAGAGCAACACTTTAGTTCTGGGGCCTAGGACTGCTGTGGACAATTAATGTTCATCTGGTAGGTATGGCTCAAGTTCTCCCGTACGTTACAGCACTGAAATATTTACCGAACAGGCCCTGCGAGGTTAAGACAACTTCTTCCTCCTGCCAGTATCTTTTATTTCAGGTAATCTATATTTACGAAAAAATTCTAAAAGACATTGTGCTTAAATCTAAATGTCATGATACTTAACATTTATACTGAATATACCACTTTTAATGTACCTTAGCAAAGTTGGATGGTAATCACATTTACTAAGCTTATATGGAAACGATTACTGTTTAGATTTTGTTATAGTTTTTAAAAAATCAAAAAGTCATGTGTTATTTGGGAATGCATTTAAACTACATCTAGGATTCATCTTGTTTGAGAATGATGCTGTGGAGGATATCAGGATGGAGTGTATGTGTATATGTGTGTGTGTATAATATATATATGTTTGTGTATATTATATATATGTACTATACACACACACACACACACACACACACACACAGCCCTCCTCCATCGGGCCATTCAGTTACACCATACCTGTGAATAATTATGAGGCTCTGGGCTGTAACTTGTTTTAAGATTCTGTCTCCGTGGCTTAGTGCATTAACCCCATGAACGCAGTGTAATGGAAAAAGTGCTAAGTCAAGACCTTTATGGTGCGACTATCTTCTCTGTCTTGCTTTTCTCACAGTACTGTTATTGTAGAGCACGAATAAGATCATTCTTGTAAAAGCATCGAAATTATCGTCCTACTCAACAGTGAGATGTGAATGTTACTTCTAAGAATAAATGTTTAAAAATTTAAAGTAATTCTTTCTCTGTTGCTGAACAAGACACTGTCTTCAGCCTACTTCCCAGAATGTTTGGAAATGCTTTCAACTTAAATTTATAATGCTTCTTCTGCCCAACCTGATCCCTAGTAACCTGTGGACCATGATTCTGAGTAGGATCCCTGAAAACATGCACACTACCCAACACAATGTATAGTCTAGTGTGTATAGAACATACAAGGTAGTACATGACATCACACGAAGGAAACACTTCACAAGGTCAGTTCAGTTCACTGATGCAAATCCCATCTGTCAGGTGCCAAATGCTTCTGTGAGGTAATTTTAGTATAGGCTTATATGGTTTTCTTCTACTAGTCATATTTGTATAAATACAATTAAAACTACTTAAATATACAACAGGTCACATGAGATCTAGTCATGCATTAACCCCCAAACCCAATCACTCTGGCTTTTGCATTTGTATTAGTACTGCCTTGCGTTTTCTTAGTAAAACTGGTAGAGCAGCAGAGGACTGAGATGGCCTATATCCAGGGTGACGAAGGACAAAGGCTACACTGCTAATCCACTGATCCACGGGTGGAGGCCAGTGCCCAGCACGGTCACCCCTGACAGGGACACAGAATGTGATCTTCCTTGAACTTCTGGCCCCACTCTATAAAACACGTGCCTCTCTAGGCTAAGATAAATTTTCTAGTCATTTCAGTAACATCAAATCAAAATTACCATGGTGCGGGCGTACAGGCGTTGTGGTTGGGGATGTGGACTGTCCAGGTAAAAGTAACCCATGTGGAGAACTGGGATTTGGCTTTCGCAACTAATAACACATTTAACACTACATTCCTATATATCATGCAGGTGATGATTCCAGAGTTTCTTTGCAGATGTTGGTTTCTGGCTATTGAGACAGGGACAGTGCTTTGAGCTCACACTACATCCCCACTTCCTGGCTAAGAGCCTCGGTTTGCTAGGCTGCACTGTGGTACACTGGGGCAGTTAACTCTATTCCTGCCCATAGTGGCTCTCTAGCTATCTACTTTTGGCAGTGCAGGCCTTCATACTGCGCTAAATACTCAAATCTTCACTTACTATTTACTACAGGGTTTTTTTTGACAGTACGTTTTGCAAATCACAAAGTTGCCCAATCTGGGCTTGAACTTGTGCCCTCCTACCTCTGGCTCTCAGAGTGCCGAGGCGGCAAGCATGCATCCCCACTCTGGCTCAGCTAAACTAACTGGGATTCATTACTGCAGCAGGGGAACAAGGACATTCAACAGACATAGTTCAACAAAAATTCTGTAAAGCATGTCTGTGCAAGTCACTCTGATAAGTGAAACCATCTGACTTTGCATAATGTCTGACAAAAGTTCCCACTCCATTGTGTGGAACTCAAGGCTTTTCACAGTCAGTATGCAAAAGATTTTTGGAGTCTTCTGGCATTTTTCTCTGCTGCAAGCCATATGCTAGCTGTGCAGAAGAACCTCCTACCACATGTCCTGTCCTTCCATGCTCCTTTACTGGCTGCTCCCAGCTTGAAGGACTTTCCCATCATCTCCCAGAGCAAACATCTACTCATCCTTGAAGGTTACTTTGAAATGTAAGCTCCCTAAAAGGCATGCTCCATGAAAGCAAGAATTTTTGTGTTTTCCAGATGGTTTTCTCTCTTGAGACTAGCCTGACATTCAACAAATGTGTGTTGAAATAACTGAATGAATAAAATGTGAATGGCTCTGTGAAGGTACTTTCCTTACTAAACAATGCCCAAAGTATTTATTCTCTGATCATCTCTACGCACTAATCTTCTAGCACCACATTATCGTTACAGTTTTCCATAACTCTCTTTCACTGAGCATGAACTGGAAAGCCAAGACCATATAGATCACCGCTTTTTATCCCTAGCGTGCATGTCATACAGGACATAACAGACGCACCACAGGCACTGCGTAACTGTTTGCTAAGTCACGTGATAATACGGGATTTGAAATCTACATCCTTCTGCTTGCCTTTTACATTTACTCTAGGAAGCCACAGGCTAGGCAATGCAAAGAGCTAGGAAAAAATGGGAAACTTGGCTAGGGATATAGCTCAGTGGCACAAGTGCCTGCCTGGCAAGCACAAGGTCCTGAGTTTGATTCCCAGTACCAAAAAAAAAAAAAACCAAACTGGGAAACTTCCTGAACAACGATAAGCATGCAGGAGACCCATAATACTAACCAATAAACAAGTTTTTAGCAATGGCGGTAGAAATGGCAAATAATAGATGAAACAGAAACAAACATGAGGCAAAAAAGCAAGTAACTGTTGACCATCTTTACAAAAATATTAGCAAATGATTATTTTAAACTGAAATCAACAAATCAAGCATATACATTTTATTTAATAAGAATTCTATTCTACGCACTGCATTGGTAGAAATTTTCCCTGATGCTTACTATTCAAAATGAATGACATTATCATTAGAAATTTATTTGAGGGGGCAAAATTTGGTAATCAAGCAACTTATGAATAGAAAAAGCTAAAGATTTCCCTTTAGGTGCTTAACAAAATCAAATTCGGTTTCCAATTATACTGACAACACTCAAAACACAAGAAAATGCCAGTGACATATTTGCCAACCCTTGTGTTTCCCTGCCGATGTTGCTCTCAAGTGTCATTCACATTCAGCCGCTCAACATGCAAAAGGCTTCATTTCATTCTTAGTCAATTTAATTAGAAGCTACAGAATTTTCTGTTTCTTCTGGCTGCAAATGAAATGAAAATCTGGAGGCTTCTCTACCTTTGTGCTGTTCAGTGACTTGGTGCAGGAGATGGGGAAAGTAGCCTCCAGGGAGGGAACCATGGCCAACTGAACTCAAAGGACAAGAAAGACCAATGCTTTCTCCTCACCTACTTTAACGCTGGAACTTCTGTGGGAGCAAAATGCTGATTATATTTGCTTTTCACTTACTGGTTGGAGGAGGTAGATGAGCGATTCCTCTTGTATTATTATAGTTGGCACGGGAATGATGTGAACGGCTTGGTGCAGGGTATTCACAGATGCCATAATCTGGTCAAAACGCCCAGCAAGGCCCCCCAGCGTCACAATGACATCAACCTAAGCAAGGCAGGCAAAATTGAGCGTCATAGATTTGAAGGATTTTAAATTCCCATTTAATGGGATGCAGGAATTAAATGACTGTTCAGGTTCAAATTCATATAACTAGAGCTAGGTGTCAAGACCAACTCTTTCGCAAATTCAGTCTTTCCCATCTGCCTATTTACACAGAAAACGAGCTAACACCCCCATGTGCATTTATTCATTTATGCATTCCTTTTCTGCAGATGTCCTAACGTGTAACGTTTCTTCACAGTCAAACCTAGTATGTATGCACATGCACTCACACACATATGCACACAAACACTTTTTAGAACTTGAACCCAGAGCCTCGCACATGCTAGGCAAGCCACCAGTGAACTACACCTCCCACCCAAAGCTGGTATTTTGGTGATGAAATAGAAAGGTGGGAAAGCTTAATTAAAATATTACAGGAATACCTTATACATATAAGGAGTGATAGTAATAACCGTTCTATTTGATACAGTTGTTTAACAATAGACAATATTTCATTTTTAGGATTTAAAAAGCACATTTAAAAAGCTTAGAACATGTCTGTAAAGATGGCTGATTTTAGAACAACCTATTATATGAGCACCACCAGAACATGATCAATTCCTAGAGTAAAAAAAAAAAAAAAAAAAGTAAGTAGCATTAGCTCCAAAATCCCAAGGCTATTTTTATTTATTTTTTTAAATTTTTGGTTAAATGATTATAGCTCTGTTACTTTGCACAGAACCTAAACTTACAAATGCTCCAGCGTTCTATGAACGAATACACGAAGACACTGTAAGACTCATTAGCTGCACAGACTCACTGGCACATCGTGGGCATATACACAGCAAAATGGGACTTATGAAAACATTACAAGGAAATTATACAGAATAAGCAAGAAACTGGGAATGTTTTCTACTTTTGGTCTGATTAGAATAAAAGGACAATGAGAACTTTTATTTTTGATAAGATGCTTCCAAGAATTAGATTTGGAGGCCATAATGACCCAGTACCCTAGGAAACATATATTACTCTGAATAATACGTAAAGACAGAGATTTGCTACTCTTTGGAAGAAAGAGGTAACTTGTAAGCAATTAGACCTGCCAAAGTTCTGTGTTAGGGCTTGTGTCTGGAAGTACCCCCAAAGCCACACGCAGTAATGGGGTGGACTTCTAGAGTTTATGATTGATTCATGGTCCAATGTTGGGATTATGGGTGTGAGTGCTACACCTGCTATGGGGTGGGTAGTTTGAATACGGGAGGGAAAGAGGCTGCTTGCTACCATCCTCCCCCCTTTTGGCTTTTGCTGTCTTCCGCTGCCTTGAATTGTTGCCCTGTGCCATGCCACCCTGCCTTGGAGCCACCTGATTATAGACTGAAACCTCCACAAACTGTGAGCTAAGTAAACCTTTCCTTCCTTAATTTTAGGTGTTGGGTATTTTGTCGCAGCAATGAGAGAGAAGTAACCAAGACAAAAGGCTTCCATTTGGGGTATTAAGTACATAGCTTCTGTTTGTGTTTAGGAAGTCTTTCGGATGCTGACTGCCTTACAATTGGGAATGGTCAGGAGAATATAAACGGCCTTAGGAAAACAAAAGAAAATTTGCTTCAAATTGAGGAGAAATAAAACAAAAGAATTTGTGGATGAAATAGAGACAATTTCAGGGTTCCTGTGAAAAGAACTTTGAAATATTCCTATGGAAATAATCCTAATTCACATGAGAAGCAAGACCTGATAGAAGTTTATTCACTATGCAGATTCTGGAATCCTTTTTTCAAGCTTTCAATCTTTCATTACTACACTCTGGCCCTGGAGGGACCCCACAGCCTTTAAGACTGAAATTTAATTCCCATCTTCTACAATGGGATACCATGATGAATAAGCAATATCTGGAAATCAGTCACTGAATTTTTCAGAAGAAAGAAATGGCAAGATTACTTCTCATCACTACTCATTTTCCCTACAGGAAGTATTTAGCAAGATTGATTAAAAACATTTGCAGATCAATTCAAGCTGCAGGTGGGGTAAGTGAGAGATGGGCTTCTAATCATTTCTGCAGTTCTCCAGTTGTAGCTGTGAGTAGGTCATAGTATTCACAGAGATGAAAGAAAGAGAATTAGAAGCTACCCCTCTGTGGGATTTACAAGGCTGGAGTTCTGTCTTTGAGATAATGATTTGGGACAGGGTGCTCAAGCTAAAGCAGACCATATGTGGATGGCAAAGTGACTTTTCTATGTGAACACACAGCCCTTTGCATTTATGCCTAATGCCACCTAGTCATGCTTTGTTACACCTTTGATATACTTGTGGTCATTTCCTTCCAAAGAAAAGCATGAATCACAGATACCAGCAGAGTCTGCAATAGAGTAGTCAAGCATTTACTGAGCTTTCACTAAGCATATAAAAACTCAGGATAAAAGCTGAAGGTAATAACCAGAGGGGTAAGAAGCTGATTATCAGGCTGAGATAATATCAACTAATTTCTACAAAATAGTACTTCCTCATTTGACGAAGGTTTCGAAAGTTTCCAGACTTAGAAAAAGTTAACATCACATTTATTATCTCAAACATGCATCTGACAAACTATAACTTTCACTTTTAACTTCATGACTAAAATCAGCCAATCAATAAATATTTATTGATCATCTATCATGGACTAGAAAATATTATAAACACAAGATGTATCAGTAAGGAAAGCAAAAGTCCCTCCCTATCCAGGGTTGAGAGCCTAATGGAGACTATATACACTAGATAAAACTTAAAAAGTAAGTACTGTATATTAGTTAAAATGCAGAAAAGGCAGAAAATGCTAAAGGAATAAGAGAGAAAGGGATTAAAAATGATACCTGGGAGGAGGTCCCAGCTTTAAACAAGGCAGTTACAAGAGGCTGCACTGGGAAAGTAACGGAGTAGCAGTGAAGATCTACAGAGGTCCAGGGAGTGCGCCACACACAGGGACCCCTGGGGCGGGGTTGGGTATGGAGTTTCAGAGTGCAACCTGAAGAAAGCCATCCAAGTTACCAGCCCCAGGCACTTTCCAAGAGCTTTGGGAGGCCAGTTGCTAAAAGTGAATTCAAAATCAGCAGGAACAGTAGGAAAACTCAGTAAAAGGGAGTGCTAGATTCACATAGTTCTGCCCCAGACTCCAAGCTCAAGCACCCAACTGCTGCTGAACAACTGTATTTGGGTATCCATGGTGACCTCAGAGTTAAACTCATCTTTCCCCTTTTCCTGTTTCCCAGGTCAGCTGCTCCAAGGTCTAGAGTCATCTCTGACTCCTCTCTAACACTTTATTCTCCCAGGAAATCTTATTGGTTCTACTTTCAATAGGTACCAGCGTCTCCATTCATTTCCACCCACAGCCTCATCACAAGCATGGTCAAGCGCCTCAGTCCCATAGGGAGGGCTGAGGGCCGCTCTGCCTCTCTGAGTTACCACAGGAGCCTCCAACTGGTCTTTCTCTGTCTGGCCTTATTTACTCCCAACCTATTTTTAATAGAGTAGCCAGGCATGGTGGCACATGCCTGTAATCCCAGTACTCGGGAGGCTGAGGCAGGAGGATCGTTGCGAGTCTGAGGCCAGCCTGGGCTACAAAGTGAGTTCAAGGCCAGCCTGAACTGCATAGTGAGACCTTGTCTCAAAAAGACCAAAAAAAAAATTTTTTTAATAGAGTACCCAAAATAATCCTGTGGGAATAGAAATCACATCCTGACATTCTCCTGCTTGAAATCCCCCAACAGATTTGCAATGATTAATATTAGGCTCCACCAGGCCCTGGAGGGTTTGATACCCAATTAAGGTCTGGCCGCATCTTTATTTCTCTCCCCTTCTTCCATTCTGCTTCAGCCATATCCACTGCATCTCTTCTACTTTATTTTGTGAAAAAAAAGTGTTCAAAACTAAATAATAACAGAATAACAACAGTCACTGCACCATGCATCGTTATCTTCAAAGCAGTCAGCACAAGATATAAAACAACAGGATTCTTACAAAAAAGAAACCAACAGGTAGCATAGACTTTCTTTTCAATGAATTATGATGTCATAAGGGAAGATAAACTTCAGGGATCCGTATGTAAATGGATGGAACTGGAGAACATAATGTTAAGTGACATAACTCAGTCACATATGCTCAAATATCACATAGCTTCTCTTATATGAAAAATGAAATACATACATATGAATGCACACACACAAAGAGCAAATTAGAAGGGAGATAAATAGAAGAGAGATAAATAGGAAGTAGGGAGAAATTCAAATACTTCCCCACATTACATATTCTGTTATTTTAAAAATATTTCAATATATATGCTAATTTGTTTCATTTACACTACAAGTTTATCTCCTACTTCTCCAACACACCAGTCCCTCCTACTTGAGAGACTGTGCTTGGTGACACCCACTTGCTGGCTTCTTTTCCTCCTTCTCTGGTCACCTGTTAAAAAACTCCCCCTCTTTCACACTGATGCTTCATATTTCCTTTGCCAGCCTTCAATTCTCTTCCCAGCATCTCTCAAAATCTAATACCACAGTAATCACTTACCAAGCTTGACCAATTATTTGTCACACTGCTCAGACTGTAAGTAACACACAGGCAGAGATTTTCCTCTCAGTACTTAGAATGAAGCATGGTACATAATAGGTGACTAGAACATATTTCTTGAATGAATGAACAAATGAATGAAACAGGAGCTGAAGGACACAGAGAGACCAGGGCCAATATATCTAAATAATGGAGAAGATGAAGAACTGCCAGAGTCCGGGGGAATGAGAGTGGGATAGACACATAAAACAGAGATTATGAAGAGTTAGTTTGTAATTCTTGTTAGATAAAAGTGTATCCATAAAATTAAGTAACTTAGCTATGAAAACAAGATAGTAGAGATTAGTTGAAGGAAACCAGAACTAGGTGTACTGGAAGGTACATTTAAATATTCCTACAGTTCACCATGAATTACGATGATACTGCTGAAAAAAAGTGGTGACTTAGAGGGTAACTGTTTC